GTGGCAATGCTATCACAACATTGTTAAGCCCCGTGATATGGTACCGTATTTAACATAGAAAAGCAAAGATAAATACCATTTTTTTTTTTTATTCACTGGAGGTTTCACAATCATAACAAGCATAGTATGATAACACTCACATAACTCATATTTAATTCACATCATCATCAATTCCCATAATTAATTCTCAGCATCAATCACAAGCATACACATAGTATAGCCTAGTATAGTTCATTCTAAATGGAGCAGCTCGGCGACGTGGTCTGTATACTCTACATCATTTAAATACTGATTTACCAACTGTGTCTTCAGTGACCTTTGTCGGCTGTCAATATATCTGTATTTCTTGCGTCTTGAAGTGTCTCTCCAGTGCGTCGACAGTCTCAAGACTGCAACTTCCGTAAATGATTTTTCGCGTTTGAACAGAAAATTGTTGGAGTGGCACTTTCGGCAGTAACCTTGGGACCAGCTGGCGCATCTGCGATGGCATCCAACCGCACGTCGTCTATCTAGCAATCTAGCAACCTCACGCAAATATTCAAACATAACATTCATTAGATCTACTTGACAGTTATCCATAAACTAATGGGAACATGTTACCCCTGAACTCAGCATGAATACAATATATTTGATCAAACAATCTAGGAGCAGCATAAAAAGTACCATCAGCAACACATAAAAATTTGAGATCTTCAACCGACTAATTATATAAACAATAGCAGGGGCATTTTCTTAACTAGTCGGTAACTCTCTACTTAGTTTGTGTATTGAAAATGTGGCTTTGCCGGCAATTCTCCTTCAAAATGAAATGTGGCTTTGTCGGCAAAATGAATTTTTCAAATGTGGCTTTCCCGGACGGACAGCAATATTCCAGCTATATGGCAGCGGTCTGTAAATAATCAAGTCTGGACCAGACAACCCAGTGATCAACAGTATGATCATCGATCTAAGCAATTGGGTTGGATGACATGTGTCAACCAAGCCAACGAGCCTGTTATAAGTTAAATATGCGTCCCTAAAGCCTTAAGTGAATTACATTAGATTCCGTATTTAGATTTTGGCTCATGACTGGGAACGGTTAAACACGGAATGGAGATGGTACAAGCCTGCCCTGTCTAGTGTTGAAGTTGTGTTTAGAGAGAGATGGGCTGAGACCGAGTAAACCTATGTGAGTATAGAACTTGGTGTTGCGTTTATCCTTGAATGAATGTGTGCCAGAACATGAATGTAATGTTGTTACTTAGGAGTCACGGTTGCCCGACCCCTCACTCCTTGACTTAGCATCCTGGGACGGACCAAGCGAGTGGAGAGCCAGAGCTACAGAGTCGTGCAAAATGTATTCGGCACTTGACGTAATTTCCATAGACTTACATTTTAATTTAGTGTAGCATAAATAATTTTCACCCCTGACGACCCGATCCCGTTAGTCGCCTCTAGTCTTTCATGGTCTTCCAGGTCTTGGACGATCCTTTTCTTCACGTGATTAATGTTCAAATTGCGACTGGACTTCCCTGTGTCCTGCATGCCAATAACCTGCAGTTTTTGAAAGTCCACGTCTTCACATGTCAAATAAAGTTAATGTTTAAATCAGTTCAGAAAACTGTAGCGCACGTATACTAAGCATCAAAAGAAACGTCGGTTTGGAATTTTCCTTTGCAGAAACGGATAACTGTAAACTCATCTAATGTTTTGATTGCTTATTTTTGACAACATCTACAACTGTACCCGAGCATAGTTATTCCTTCCCAAACTCAGAATGGAACCCAGGAAATGGTGTCAAACACGCAACCTGAGTTCGGAGATGGTACGGTGTTCTCAGTGTTTTTCATGCAACTCATGCTGCACGTGCTGTTCCTTAGGACCATCCCTATATAATGCTGCCCCAAACCCTGGTTGAAACATTCACTTTACAACGTCAGCAAGATGCCCTTTCTCACGACAGATCAGAGGAACCAGGCGCTAGGAAGACTTGAAGCTGGCCACACTGCACACGCCGTTGCCAATCACTTCAAGGTCAACGTTCGGACGATCTACATGGTGCAGCAACGTTTCCGGGCCACCAACACCACAAATGATTGCCCCTGTACTAGCAGACCAAGTGTGACCACAAGACGACAAGACCGCCATATTGTGCGACAGCATGTACAGAATCCCTTAATGCAGGCATCCGAAACAGCACGCCAGACAGTGGGAACACACGGAAGACCAATCAGTACTGATACAGTACGCCGACGTCTTAACAGCGCGAACCTCCATTGCCGTAGACCTTACCGTGGACCTATCCTCGCCCATCCATCTAGCGTGAACGTCTACAGTTTGCCCTACAACACCCAAACTGGAGATACAGGCAATGGAGAACTTTTCTGTTCACAGATGAGAGTCGGTACTGCGTATCAACTGCCGATGGCAGAACAAGAATATGGCGACGACGTCGCCAGCGTTACTCAGACCAATGTGTTATGGAAAGATGGGGAATACAACCATCACGGTATGGGTGGAATAGGCCTGAACCAGAGCGTGGGTCCTGTGGTGTTACATGGATATGGCACATTTTATGTGGGTACGTTTGACATGTCACGTCGATGTGTTGGATGTGTCACATGTCACGTTGATATGTTGGATGTGTCACATGTCACGTTGATATGTTGGATGTGTCACAGGTCACTTTGCTATGTAGGATGTATCACATGTCACGTTGATACGTTGGATGTGTCACATGCCACGTCGATACGTTAGGTGTCACATGTCACGTTATATGTTCCATATGTCACATGTCACGTTGGATGTGTTACATCCCACGTCGGTATGTTGGTTGTGTTACTTGTCACGTTGATATGCTGGATGTATCACAGGTCACGTTGATACGTTGGCTATGTCACATGCCACGTCGATGCGTTGGATGTGACATGTCACGTTGATATGTTGGATGTGTCACATGTCACGTTGATATGCTAGATGTGTCACATGCCACGTTGATACGTTGGTTGTGTCACATGTCACGTCGATACGTTGGATATGTCACATGCGACGTCGATACGTTGGATATATCACATGCCACGTCGATACGTTGGATGTGTTACATGTCACGTTGATATGTTGGATGTGTCACATGCCACGTCGATACGTTAGGTGTCACATGTCACGTTGATATGTTCCATATGTCACATGTCACGTTGGATGTGTTACATCCCAAGTCGGTATGTTGGTTGTGTTACTTGTCACGTTGATATGCTGGATGTATCACAGGTCACGTTAATACGTTGGCTATGTCACATGCCACGTCGATGCGTTGGATGTGACATGTCACGTTGATATGTTGGATGTGTCACATGTCACGTTGATACGCTGGATGTGTCACATGCCACGTTGATACGTTGGTTGTGTCACATGTCACGTCGATACGTTGGATATGTCACATGCCACGTCGATACTTTGGATATATCAAATGCCACGTCGATACGTTGGATGTGACATGTCACGTTGATATGTTGGATGTGTCACAGGTCACGTCGATACGTTGATGTGTCACAGGTCACGTTGATAAGTTGGATGTGTCACATGTTATATGGATATGTTGGATGTGTCATATGTTATGTGGATACGTTGGATATGTCACGTCGATATGTTGGTGATATGTTGGATGTGTCACAGGTCACGTTGGCATGTTGGATGTGTCACATGCCACGTTGATATGTTGGATGTGTCACATGTCACGTTGATATGCTGGATGTGTCACAGGTCACGTCGATACGTTGATGTGTCACAGGTCGCGTTGATAAATTGGATGTGTCACATGCCACGTTGATACGTTGGTTGTGTCACATGCCACGTCGATACGTTGGATATATCAAATGCCACGTCGATACGTTGGATGTGTTACATGTCACGTTGATATGTTGGATGTGTCACAGGTCACGTCGATATGTTGGATGTGTCATATGTTATGTGGATACGTTGGATATGTCACGTCGATATGTTGGTGATATGTTGGATGTGTCACAGGTCACGTTGGCATGTTGGATGTGTCACATGCCACGTTGATATGTTGGATGTGTCACATGTCACGTTGATATGCTGGATGTGTCACATGTCACGTTGATACGTTGGATATGTCACATGTCACGTTGATACGTTGTATATGTCACATGCCACGTTGATACGTTGGTTGTGTCACATGTCACAGTGATACATTGGATATATCAAATGCCACGTCGATACGTTGGATGTGTTACATGTCACGTTGATATGCTGGATGTGTCACATGTCACGTTGATACGTTGGATATGTCACATGTCACGTTAATACGTTGTATATGTCACATGCCACGTTGATACGTTGGTTGTGTCACATGTCACAGTGATACATTGGATATATCAAATGCCACGTCGATACGTTGGATGTGTTACATGTCACGTTGATATGTTGGATGTGTCACAGGTCACGTCGATACGTTGAATTGTCACAGGTCACGTTGATAAGTTGGATGTGGCACATGTTATATGGATATGTTGGATGTGTCATATGTTATGTGGATACGTTGGATATGTCACGTCGATATGTTGGTCATATGCTGGATGTGTCACAGGTCTCGTTGGCATGTTGGATGTGTCACATGCCACGTTGATATGTTGGATGTGTCACATGCCACATGGATATATGGGATGAGTTACAGGTCACGTTGATATGAATGACTTTGTCCTAAGTCATATGTCAGCGAACCAAACAATGGAAATACCTCATGAAACGCTCATCTTTTGTCATTTTAACCTTCAAAGTTGGAAAGAAAACTAAATTTTAAACTAAACTTTATTAACTTGTAGTCAACACCTAAAACATTTGAAGGGTATTTTCCCCTTGTGTGGATATGTCGGATGTGCCAGGAGTCACAAGGATATTTTGAATATGTCACGTGCATATGAATGACCTATGTCAGCTAACCAAACAAAGGGAATACCTCATCAAATTATTGTCTTTTGTCATTTGAAAATATGAAACGAAAATTTAATTTTCAGAACTTTATTAACTTGTAGTAAACATTTGGAACATTTGAAGAGTATTTTACCCTTCCCACATCAATATGACACATGATACATGTGTGCCAGTATGTCACGTGGAATCAACCAATATAACTGCGGTACAAGATAGCATATGATAACGCCCAAGACTATTATTTATATTCAATCATTGAAATCCTGAGTAGAATACCTGCATTTGATAGCCTCTGAGAAACATAATATGCTTGACGTTAACAGCGATGACGAAACATTTTCCATTTACACTCCACTGCACTGCAACATCAAGCTGTTGTGTTGGGTTTTTAGGAGAAGGGTTGCGAGTTACCCTTGTACGCTAATACAAATGCTAGCAATACAGGAACTTACTTTCCTGGACCAGTGTTTACACACAGGAAACTATACATCACGTCAGTTCTGTGGTTGTGAAGAGTAACATGTAAATATAACACCTGGAAATGATTACGTATAAACCATATGGAGAGTAATTAGCTACACATTCATTGAGTGCTACAGTCATAGACAAATAGGAGGTGTAATCAAACCTATATGCAACTATTGAGCCACGTCATCACTCTCAGTGCTCTGAGGATGGACATTCATTTGTTGGGTGTCCTAGAAGATGACACCGACAACATACTTGTTCCTCTTCACTATGGGCAAACATGCAAGCATCTTGATACCGGCAAAAAGACCCCAAGACGATGTTGTTACACATGAAAGTCTTGTATTTATACAAATTGTTCGTTGTTTTATCTTTAACATACGTATCTCTCTTTTCAAAGAAGGATGTCTCCGGTACCGTGTGATCATGTTTGCATTTTTTTACCTTGTACACATTGAAAATGATATTCACAAGGAGTAGTGTACCACTGGTACCTTTTGGACTCTTTGTACTTGACCTGCTGAAATGGATCTTCGTTTTGTCTTGAATGGTGGCTACTACATTTTGTAGGTACAGGATCCTCACATTGATTAGGGGCCATTTTCTGTGTTGCATCATTTTGTTTGATCTTGCTGAGTGGAGTAAGACTAGAGGGCGTATTTGGACTTTTCCTAGCAGGATTACTTTCTGTGTCCGAAGGTCCGTAGATATGGGCAAAGCCAGAGACAAAGCCAGTGGTTGCGGAAGGCGGTGTCACTTCATCGTCATCTTCACACTCATGGAGGATATTAAACCTGTTGGTTGAACATAGATCAAGAGCTGTGTCCTGTCTCTGTTTATTAGTATGCTCAAAGTATGTCAACACATTTTCGCATAAGTTGGGCTGACATAGCCTTTTCAGTTCTGGCGTATAGCGCGCTAAAGGAGTATCCTCATCCAAAGATTTATCTTGGCACTGGAGGAACAGAATCACTAGGTCCTGACTCATTGCAGCCTCTGATGACTTTGGAAGTAACCAGGCATGTTTCCAAGGCCATTTGAACTGATCCAGTATTTTCTTTAACTCCATGAATTCTTCGTTTCTGTCATCTTGAAGCTGGCGGACGCATTGCCTTAGCACGATTCCACGATTTAGCAACTCATTCCTGTAATGTTGGGTGATAGTAAACCTTTCACTGATAAATGTAAATTTTCTTAAATTTTCTTGTTCTGTTAGACACTGCACTGTCATTAATTCGGGATGCTTATTTTGAAGACGCTTCAGGTCTGCACCCAGACTCTTTTCCATTGCCCAAACCTCCACATTCCACCTCTTCTCGATAGCTTTTTGAATGCAAGGAGACATGTCATTGTCACCGCTAACTATCACAACAGTAGATCCAAATTCCCGATTTTGGGAATCACAAACTAGTTCTGTGACATCAGCAACAATTTGGGTATCAACTTTCTTCTCTTTCCCTGTCCACTGACTTCTCTTGTGTTTCTTGATTTCCCGCCTTTTTCTTTTATTTTTTTCCACACCGTGTCAATTGGAGGCGGCTCTGATCCATACAATATTGCTTTATTTACCACTCTCCCGTTGCTTATCAAATTAGCTAACCTTCCAACATCTATTCTCAAACGAGGGTCCTCTGTGAACTCTTTTTTGAGACTGTACCCTTTCACTTTTTTCGCTTCTATCCACAAATTGGAATCGTCCAGAAAGATCCATATCCCTTCAGCAGACATCCGTATCAACAATCTGTAATTGCAATAGATAGATATCCATGAGGTTCTGACGTATACATTATTATTTACGCAGCCAAATAATTTCATTTGAAATCTCGAGCCCCAATATGAGTTGAACAAAACAACACTTTCAATATTATTTGAATATGTTTCGCTATTTTAAAATTCCGTGTTCTCTAAGCTCAGGATTATTTCATGAGGTGGAATGTTGATAGGTAAAAAGCTAAAGCTATAGTTTTCATAGTATAATTGACTATACATATATTCAAAGTAGACGCCGCACTCACCTTGGTTAGCCCCACTATGCACGACTGTATGTGTTGGAGTCACGAGTGTCGAATTTAAATACGGTTACATATCTTACATCATGGTTGTTTATATAGCAGCTGGTAATTCCCTTGAAAGGCGTACCTCAGTGAAAGATCCGAAAATAGACCGTTATCACCTGATTGTATCATTGTGACATTTGTGACCTTTCTTTTTGGTGACTGTGAGGACAGACTGGATGTGTAGGACACCTGAGTGCTGCTATAATGGCCAACCCGCTTTCCCAAGCACAACTCCCACTTCAACCACATTTTTTTAAAATGTGAGCGAATGTTGTTTGGCCCCGAAACTAAGTTTTAGTTTATATATCAGTGGGTACAAAACAACGCTAACAATATCATTTGAATGTTTCACTATTTGAAAATTCTATGTACCCTTAGCTCAGGATTATCTTATGAGGTATAAGCTAACGCTATAGTTTTCATACTAGTATAACTGCCTCTACATATATTCATAGCTGACGCCGCACTCGTCTTTGTTCGCCCTACTATATAGTGTTGAATTTAAATACGGTAATATATCTTTCGTCATGGTTGTTTATATACCAGTTGGTAATTCCTGGAAAGGCGTACCGCAGTGTAAGGTACATCGACACCTGATTATGTCATTGCGACATTTGTGATCTTTCTATTTGGTGGCTGTAAAGCCTGACTGATATGTAGGACACCCGAGTTCTGATCATATATTGGCTACCTTAAACTTCTCTAACCCCCCCACCCCCACCCCGCTTCCCCACCCCTTTTCAATTACAGTTTATTAAATGATGTTGGGCGCCGTATATGGAGGTATAATGATGTATGGTAGCCAATCCTACCTCATGGTTGTTTATATTTAAGTTGGTAATACCTGGCTGAAAAGGCGTACTGTAGTGTAAGGTACGAAAATAGACCATTATCTACTGATTATGTCACGATGTCTGATATTTGGCCTTCAACGCTTCAAAGGTTTACATACCTTATCCACGTGATGTCTTTGTTAAAGTATTTCGTGTGTGCGTGCGTGCGTGGTTCGTATATCAAGCATAGTATAACATAGGCGGATCCAGGAATGTTCAAAGGGTGGGGTAACCCCCTGAACCCCACCTTGGCTCCACCAATGTAAAACATTAACTTCCTCTGGATCCGCCAATGTATAATGAGTATCTTTTCTTCTTCGAACATCCGGTTTCGACGGGAGGTGTCCGGATAAGAGTATGCCCTGATGAATCCCATCGTATATTTCATACATCGTATAACTTTTGTCAGTCATCGAGGGCTCCGGATTAGTAAATATTAGGTAGGTTCCGCTCAACTGTGAACTGATATACTTCAGCTTTCATCGAATTCATAATCTGTGTTTAGGAATTCCACAGGTATACCATCAAAGGTTATTCCTGCGGTATGATTATATTGTACACTCGAGTATCTGAATGGGGGAAATATATTAAACTCTTGACAGGTTCTCAAAAGGGGAAATCCTCCACGTTTGCCATACATGGTGTTGCCATTAAAACGACACACAATCTAATAATGACAATCACGAAATTTTAATTTAAATTCAAAGTGGTTTGGGGTAAAACAACAACACCTGGACATAAACCATTGAAGACACCGTTGATGTGCATATACAGTTTTAATGTGTGTATCCCTGGATTAAACGGCGATCTTAACTGAGTGGACAGTAACATCATTTTCGATGACAATGAACTGAGGATGTGCTCCTCTTCTTCTCACTGGAATTGTGCAACGTCGTTTACCATCAAGATCCACCTGCACAAAATATACATTTATACTGTAATAGTCAAACAACAGTCAGGATAGTCTAACTTTACCTGATACAATCTGACATACAACATCATCCATATGCTGATCTATATACCAACCCTCCATATACTGACCCTGTATACCTACCCTCCATATACTGACCTTCTATACCCACCCCCATATACTGACCCTGTATACCCATCCCCCATTTACTGACCCTGTATACCCACCCCCATATACTGACCCTCTATACCCAACCCCATATACTGATCCTGTATACCCACTCCCATATACTGACCATGTTTACCCACCCTTCATATGCTGACACTGTATACAACCCCCCTATATACCTACCCTGTATACCCACCTCCATATACTGACCCTCTATACCCACCCTCCATATACTTACCCTGTATACCTACCCCCATATACTAACCCTATATACGCACCTCCATATACTAACACTCTATACCCACCCTCCATATACTAACCCTCTATACCCACACTCCATATACTGACCCTCTATACCCACCCTCCATATACTAACCCTCTATACCCACCTCCATATACTCAACCCTATATACCCACCTCCATATACTGACCCCGTATACCCACCCTCAATATACTGACCCTCTATACCCACCCTCCATATACTAACCCTCTATACCCACCCTCCATATACTAACCCTCTATACCCAGCCTCCATATACTGACCCTCTATACCCATCCACCATATACTGACCCTCTATACCCACCCTCCATATACTAACCCTATATACCTACCTCCATATACTGACCCTGTATACCCACCCCCATATACTGACCCAACATACCCACCTCCATATACTGACCTTGTATACCCACCCTCCATATACTGACCCTCTATACCCACCCTCCATATACTGACCCTGTATACCTGCCCACATATACTAACCCTGTATACTCACCCTCCATATACTAACCCTATATACCCACCTCCATATACTGACCTTGTATACCCACCCCCATATACTGATCCTCTATACCCACCCTCCATATACTAACCTATATACCCACCCTCCAAATACAAACCCTTTATACCTACCCCCCATATTCTGACCCTGTGTACCCACCCTCCATATACTAACCCTGTATACCCACCCCCAATATACTGATCCTGTATACCCAGCCCCATATACTGACCCTCTATACCCACCCTCCATATACTAACCTATATACCCACCCTCCAAATACAAACCATGTATACTTACCCCCCATATTCTGACCCTGTGTACCCACCCTCCATATACTGACCCTGTATACCCACCCCCAATATACTGACCCTGCATACCCACCCTCCATATACTAACCTTGTATACCCACCCACATATACTGACCCTGTATACCCACCCTCGATATACTGGTCCTGTATACCACCCCCCTATATACTTACCCTGTATACCTACCTCCATATACTGACCCTCTATACCCACCCTTACATATACTGACCCTGTATACCTACCCCCATATACTAACACTATATACCCACCCTCCATATACTAACCCTATATACCCACCTCCATATACTGACCCTGTATACCCCAAACCCATATACTGACCCTCTTTTCCCACCCTCCATATACTAACCCTATATACCCACCCTCCAAATACAAAACCCTGCATACCTACCCCCAATATACTTACCCTGTGTACCCACCTCCCATATACTAAACCTGTATACCCACCCCTCCATATACTGACCCTGTATACCCACCCCCATATACTGACCCCGTATACCCACCCCCAATATACTGACCCTCTATACCCACCCTCCATATACTGACCCTGTACATCCACACTCCGTATACTGACCCTGTACACCCACTCTCTATATACTTACTGTGCATACCCACCCTCCATATACTGACCCTGTATACCCACCCTCCATATCCTGACTGTGCATACCCACCCTCCATATACTGACTGTGCATACCCATCCTCCATATACTGACTGTGCATACCCATCCTACATATACTGACTGTGCATACCCACCCTCCATATACTGACTATGCATACCCACTCTCCATATACTGACCCTGTACACCCATTCTCCATATACTGACCCTGTATACCCACCTTCCAAATACTGCCGATCTATAAACACCACCCTCCATATACTCACCCTCTATACACACCTCTCATACTCACCCTATACATTCCATCTTTCAGCACTATTTTGACTGTGCATGGCTTCCCGATTCGCAATGTCTGCCTTCCACCGTGTTGCTCTTTGCCCCACTTATTGTTGATAAGCGTATTGCAAAGGATACAAAAATTCTCATTGCCAAATTTGAAGCGGAAATCAACGTAGAATACTGCGTCCTGGTTGTTTCTCACATAGACATCAAATCTGAATGATAAATATGTTTTACCCGATTATCACAATCAAAAGGCTTCACATTATTACTGTAGTCCTACCACTTGAAAAAGTAGAATGAAGTTCTTGAGTGAACCACTTGAAAATGACACAGAGGGGGTGCGTAGTTCATTTCACGGACCCTAACTGTATTTACATAATCCCTTGAGCTGTTAGCAATATACAAAAATCTAGCCAAAAATTTAAAATACATATTCTACGGTTAAAACGAAGAAAGATTAAACTTACTTTGAATGTGTTGGGACTTACGTATCCTCTCAGGAGGACAATTATTTTGCTCGAGCTAGGTCTATATCTACCTTCTACATGGAAACACTTTCTATACATTACGAAAATGGAGCCTCCTGTTAAAAGTGTAATACAATTGTTCTTTGATTGTATGCACGTGATGTGTTTCATTCAAAAGGTTGTTGAAACAAAGGATATGGAATTCGTAAGGCGATCCGACCAAGAACTTCATGTCAACTTTGATATATTGCTAGTGCTTCCCCTAGGCATTCATAGAAGGGCGCAACACCCTGCCCTTATATTGGCAAACTGCCCTTTTCATTTGGTGCCTAGTCCTTCTTTTGAATGCATTAACTGAAGTTAACACTTGGATTACTAAATACAATACTCTTTTGAAATAAGGCAGCCCCTTTTGAAATTCTGTCCCTCTGCCCTTTTTGAATCCTGGGGGAACCACTAATCCACCAAAGGGATAGACTAACGCTTAGTCCCTGAATATATATAATTTGATAGTAACAAATAAACCCATTTATATTGAAAAGGAACCCCAGTGATTTAGGAGATTCTGAACCTGGGGAAATCTACACATGCTTCATTTAGTGTATTAGCATTATAGTGAGGGTTAGGCAGTCGGCAAAAGAATGTGGTTCAGGGACTGTTGGACACATTTCCAAAGGGATAAGACATTT